CTGCATGCAGTAATATTCAGAAGTCAGCCCCTACAACCTTTCCGTTGCCACATGCATAGGAATGCGGGGAACAAGACGGAAGTGGAGTTCTCAAAGTCTACAAAGTGACGTCAGCGGACTTCGCGAACCAGAGCTTCCGTCGTGTTCCCCGCATTCCTCGGCGTGTGGCAACGCATAAAGGTGGCAGGGGGCTGACTTTACAAGATCACTGCAGCTCGTATATGACATGTATGGTATGAAATCCAGCCAACACAAAGTCCATCAAACATTTTGCTGTAAGACGGCGGGTCAAAAAAGTAAGTTATAATTGTCCTTCGTACAAAAATGGTATGGGATTGGTAATAGTAGTAGAGTTCCCATACCACCACTATGGAGCCGGAGGAACCTCAGCTGCTTCCTGAGGTTGCCAGTTTGCTTCCGTTCATCCAACATGATGGTTTGTCTTCCGACACAACCTCATCATCATGCTCATCTGCACCTGAAACTCGAAATAAAAACCCAACGATGACGGCGACAGCAATTGCCGCAGAACCTGCTGTAAACCTGTAACCTGGATTAAAAAATGCATTTTTTTTCATGAATCAGTGTGAATGGCGTAAAAAGGAATGACATCCTCCCCAGACTACCTTTGTCTGGTCCGACAAAATGAATTAGGTTTTTAACAACGGCCATACATGTGGGCCCCAACTAGTATAGTGTTTTGTCAAGAATAAATCCCCGCAGTCATATAATTTGGCCATCAGATTCGGCTGTATTGTACGCGTGCGCGTTGATAGGGGATTCCTCTGAACACGCAGCATGTTATAGTCAGACCCTGGGCGAACAATGCTGTAGGATAATATACATGTACTTCAGGGAACACATATCCGGCACCCAGAATCACCAGCTCGGTGCAAATACCGAACAAATGTTCGTTGACAGCGGAGATCACTGATACCGAAGGAAAAGCATGAAGAACTGCATGAAATAAGGCACAGAATTGTGCCGTCCTATCAGACTGTACACTGTGGATAGCTCTGGGAATGTAATACTATTGGTTCCGTGACTGTAATTGAATTTGGACGTGCAAAATGACTGTGTGCACAAAGAGTTTTAATGACATGGGACGTGCACAGTATTTTTGGGGCGCGGTGCAATCGGGCAATCTCCGTGGTTGCACGATCTTTGTGAGATTCTGTCCATTTTGCAATATAAGTTACTTCCAAACGCCTTTTGCTTTTACTTCGCTGTTACCGATTGTGGAGGACTGATCTTCCAACAGGAGGTCAAGTCCAATGTTTTATCATAAAATATTGACTCATAATGCGATTTCGTGATGGTACAGATTGACTGATCGCACCAAACATCACATGCATACACGACCTGCAAATACATGTAGGCCTACGTGTACTAGTCAGTTTATTAGACTAATCACGTTGTATATATAGGACCTGAACTTTCAAACATGTAATGTCAGTTTTTTACGAAAGATCTCTTTTGTTTCCCATTTTAGGTTACAAGATGTATGCATACGAAAAGCAAGCAAGGCGGCAAATGCAGAGGACATGCAGACCAGTGAATAAAAATGAAGTCTGAAGAAAAACCTTAGATGGGTAGTTCTGAAAATCCCGTAGTTCTGTGGTGAAATAAAACCTTTTACCATCCCTAAAGCAAAGTCTGTCAGTACACAGTTGGTTTGTAAGTCAAATCAATCAAGATAGTGAATGAAGGCAAAAACTCTCAGATTCCATCAAGAAAGGTTTACTAAATACAGAAATGGAATGGACAGGCCGGGGCCATGGCCCCATATTCCACTTTGCATTCCTGTATTTTAATGAGGCTGGATCCGCCCTGGAATAGAAATACTTGTCAATTAATCAATTAAAATAATCTCAGGAAAGCTGGTATAAGTGGTGGGAACTGATAACGCAGAAGCAATTAGATTGGTATCGGGAGTTCCAGATGTTAACTTATTTGGAAAAAAATCTATGGTATTCTTGGGTGGCATTCTATTCTTTTCTGGCCTGGAATGTAGGCGTGGAAACATTGAATGGACAAAGAAGATGGGAGGGCAAGCCAATGTCCACTTATAATAGCTTCCATCCAATCCAACGTCCAAGCTATCTGTTCCGCCGCCCCTGCTGGAATGTACAGTGAAGGTTCGTTTAAATCCGTACAAATTCAACATATTGTGAAGTTGTTGGGATTGGGACCCATAACAGGCAATAATGGTTAATAATAGCACTTTGGCATAGTCTCCAGCTCTATATTATACAGATTCCAAAAAGCTATTTCAAAGCTATTGACTACAAATTCCACACGTGGTTATAGTAACAATTCAAAACTTATTTTAGATGATCTCCTTTTGATGTTCTACTACATAACATACTGCACTGCTGCACAATATCCCATCCTGCCCAGCTGTTTATTTACTCTTCAACACCACAACTGAGTACATGTAGCTTCGTCCAATCCTCAGATGCTGTGAGTTCAGTACTGACATCAAATCAGCAGTTCTTAACTGTGGTACTACAACGAAAAAAAATGTAGTCAGAACAAAGTGATAAATTCAGCATCTGCGTCGCAGATGGATAATGTAAACTTGGGATTGTGTTATCTGTGATCATTAAATTTCATACATCTGTCAGTTGACAATGGCTTCTCACGAAACTCACGTTTGCTGGCTGCCGTCCATGAAGATTGAGATTCAGTACAAGTACTGAAAAATATGGCAATATTATTGCCTCATGTACATGTACGCGCACTATACTAAACAATCGAAAAATATTATGGCCTGTTTATAGTTTATGCAATGCGAAGTGGACATCGCGAAGCAATTTGCTGTGGAATTTGTAGGAATTTAAATGTGTTACACTTCTGCAAATTTGCAGTGTCTCATAATTTTGCAATGGAAAACGCTTTCGTGCCAAGTACAAACTGGCCAATTATAAAACCCTAATCACCACAAAAGAATTTTGACACTGAAAAATCAACCAAAAAACCCCAATGATTTTTCATACATGCATAATAAACAAGGCAATCAGCCGCTAAAACCGGCATACGTGTTCACGTACAGCTGGCTGGGGCTGCAACGGTCCTACGATTGTCGGGATGCGTGGATTGTCGAGCTGATCAATCACCTGATGGCATTAAATTAAGGGCCAACTTGGAGTTGGCAGCTTGTTCCGTAAACAGCTGTCGGCATTCAAAAGTCAAGTCCTGCCTAGCGCCAAAAAGTCTGGTACAAAAAACGTGACTATTTTTATGTGCATGTACAGTGGTGTCCCATAAACGTGATACACTTTGACCTTTGCCTCGGATTTCCTCGGACATTATTGCAAAACCTTTTTGTTGAGAAAAAACCTTCAAATTCATTCAGTTACACACTGGTAATCTACTTATAAAAAAAACACATGCCGTGGATCCTTCGCGGACAGTTTCAGTTTCTTTAAACGGCGTCTGGAAATTCCTTTTAGTGTTCCCTAAAGTGGCACAATAAAAGGATCACAGAAAACCCCACATACACATTGCAGAATAAATAAATTTTGTACAATAATTTTAATCTCTACGCATGAGTATAAGTTTGTAAGAAAACGATTTTCTTATTTTTTAGTGGAGTTTAAAAAGGATCGTTGTGGACTTCAAAATGAAGTGTGAAAATAGCGGCAAAAGTAAACTCCTCTAGAACTTTGTAGCGCGTACTTAACTTTCCAAATTTATGAAAAGCAATGTGCAGAGCTTGATGAATGATGAAATTCATCTGTGAAATTTGGGATGAAAATGTTGCTTTACCAAGATACCAGGGGGAAAATCAAACCGCACCACGTTTAGGGGCTGTGCCTCGTTAGAGTCCATCAACAGTACACGTAATAACGTATACGCTTCCCGTTACGGCAAGTTTGCCACCTTACACACACACACACACACACCCAAACTTTCGGGGAAATACTCGGAATGAAGCATTCAATATAATAATTATGGTCTTTGCTTTTACTAAGTGCCAACACACAGGAAAATTTTTTAAGCGCAGCGCCGGTATACATGTATAGCTATTGAATCTGGCTTCGCGTACTTCGCAAACAATCGGAATGCGCACTTCGCGAACTCGCCAACGGTAGCCTACTTAACATAAAATTACCATAACAAAGGCCATTGTCATGTGATCCAAATGAACCTGCTAAGCTCCTCCTCCGCTGGTAACTAAAGATTAACTTAGTTCACAAACGTTCGCTGACTCCGTGAACGGTCAATTTTGAAGCCAAGCCTAATAAGGGGGCAAATTTTTGAGGTAGAGAGGCAATGCCAATGACTGACTCTCTCATGGGAAATAACAGACTTTTAAGGAATGAGAGCTTCCCTCTCACCTTGGTTGGGTAGTTTGAAAAAAACATAAGAAGACAACACAAAAACTATTGTACTTAATTGTTGTTAACCAAAGGCACCTGGCTTTGAAAAAAGAATTAACAAACAAGCACAGGGGAATGCCTACGCCCCTAAATTGAAAGGAAAGACTAGCCTGCTCGATGGTTGGACCAGGGAAATTAAATATATAATCTAGCACCAACATAGATATAAACATAGCATTGAAATCTCTAATTTTGTTCTTGGTATTGGTATTGAAAAATAGTAACAGCTATACTTGAAACCCTACAGTATGTATTATACAGTTGATATAAGATTTATAATGAGCCAACAACAGAAACTTAAAAAATTTGAGGGTGAAAATACAGGACTGTTAGCTCTGACGATAAGAAATAAAGAGAGATTATGGGTGAAGCACTGTAATGCATTGTGGTAGATAGAGTGCACATTATAGTTGATCAAACTTTAGCAAATGTCCTGAATGCACTAGCAAAATATGCAGTGGTAGATACTGTGTAAAATGAATGCCACAGACTAGTACAAAAAAACAGGCTCCAATCTGTCATTGAACTAAACAAGTATGGTTTAAATCAATGACTGTCAAGTGACTATTAGAAAAATGAGCAACCACTAATTGCTAATACATTTCAATAACCTACCTGCTGAGCCATTCTTCGAACCTCCCATCTTCCATCTGCAAGGCACTTTATTGTCTGTAGCAGCATTTGTCGTAGTATTGTGGACAATGCTTGTAACTGAACATTCTGCAGCCAGTCTATATCAGATTCATCTTGCCTTGCTAGCACCCTGATGCAGTAAAAGAAAAGTTTCATATTACACCTTAAGCAATGTGGTGTTTTTAATGTGTGACCTCATTATGTTACAAGTCACGTGACATTAAAGGTGCACTCTTCAACGCACTATATATCGTGAAGTACTGCCTATGCACAGTATGCGAATGAGATTTTAAAGTACGAAAATATTGTAAGGGGTTTTGTTGTCGGCGCTTCATCTGTGTGAAGAAATACACCAGTTATGCAATTCATGCAGATGACTCCAATGTTTTAGCAATCATTTAATGGACCATTCATGCTTATATCTTTTACGGTTAATTTTAAGCGAATTTTTAAGAAGAAAAGGTCTTTTCATTGTAACTTCCCAGCTGATGAGGTCATCGGCCCCAAACTTCACACACGTGTTGAATTGGTAAACATCATATCCACCAGTTTTCAGGCAATTTGGACAAACGTCACCACAGACATCTATTCAAAATTCACTTTCCAGAATGTTTAACCTGTCGCTAGAAGGCGCTTGTCAATTATGTCATCAATAGATGATTTAAAGGATACTATACCCCAACAGACTAACGCCGTTGAAAACGTTTTGATACGTATTACCACTTTTAAACAATAAGCTCACTTCTGGTTTTGATTGGAAGGAAGGGTCATGTGATTTGACCCACACAAGATGAATTGAAGACTAAAAATACTCTGCCACTTGACCCACACAGAATGTTGCGGGAGGCCACGAGTGATTTTAGATGGATTTTTAAACATTTAACACAATTTTTAAATATAAAAAAATTCATATTTAATCAGTTGATGACATCATCATGACGTAATTATTCTTGGACAACACACAAAACAGCCTTGCAATGGAGATGTAGGTTTGACTTTTGGGCATAGATTTCCTAGCCGCTGTTTTGCTTCCTTTGTATGCATAATGCTTATACCAGAACTTTGGCAGCTTGCCAAAATGGGCACATCTGCCCAAATCAAGAGCACAGGGCATGCTTGCCCGAAATACTGGGCATGATTGCCAGATCCTTGCCAAACTTGGCAGCTATGGGCCAAAATCCTTGGCACGCTTGCCATCCGTTGAACTAGCCTACTCGGAACAGAAGGGTGCTAGCCAAAATGTTTGTACTTGATTGTATGTCATATGCCTAAATTATTAATATAACCAATCAGCCCCACCAAAACAAGAGGGTGCCTGGCATAAGATTAAACACAACAGATAACAAGTTTGAAAGCACGCAGTTTTTTCACTGCTGGCACGTGCAGTTGAATAAGCCCCACCAGAACAAGAGGGTGCATACCTATCCCAAGATTAAACACAACATATTAAAAGTTAACCTACAAGTTCAAAGTCTTACATAAGACAAAGTTTACCATAAGACATATTTCCAAATTAAAGTTGTTTACCATTTTAACTTGAATTGAGGCACTACCTGTCTCTCCCAGCCAATTCCTGCCACAGGCGCAACATGCGCCCCACTGGGACGACAGACCGTGCACTCCCTTCTACCCCGACTATCTGTATGTGCAGTGCATGTGCAGTGGGCATGGTGTAAACTGAAGTAACTTCACACGTATGAACCATATAGACCATGAATTGATCCGCATCATAAGAGAGCATTGAAGATTTGCATCGAGTCTGAATAGCATGTTATTCCAGAGAATCTGGCTCCGGCTCCAATGAGTGGAAATTCAAGAGGAAAAACTTTAAGTAGCTGCAAGTGCAGATAAATTGATTAGAAATGAATGCGCATAAAAAGGGGGAGGGGTGTTCAAAGAGCCTTTAATAATCATAAGAAAACTGTTGCAATATGGCATTAAAAAGCTACTGAGCAGGGTCATGACCTTTGATATTTCACATCTGAGCACTACTCAACCGACCACCCATTTCTTGCCGCATCCCTAGACATTCACATTTATTGCACCTTCTGCGGTGCAAACACAAACAGCTACCTGTGCTGTCAATGAGTAACTGATGGAAAGGTTACGCTAATATTTCATAGTTTGGTGGAGTGTTTGTGGGATCCATGCAACTTAATGGGATAAGAGAAATTTAGAGGCTCTGAATTATCATCAGTGGGATTGCCATTCATCTTCGTGTGTAAACCAAACAGTTCAGACTGTGGAATAATTAGAAGTTTGATATCGTGGAGAACTAAACCAGTATCAATCAATAAATCAATCAATGATTCACAAGGAGTTACGTCTGGATCCAAATATCAGAAATCGCAAGAAAACCGCTGGCACTCAAATCTGCAACACGGCCAGGGCACGATGACATGCAAAGAGCGACTTCAATTGGCCATGATATCCATATGTAGGATGCTTGAACGATATGGAACATGATACATGGAAGGTCAGCAACCATCATCTGTGGTTGGCTTAATATATCCCAACTGCATCAAAGAATCTGTCATCATATCCAGCTTGGTATTTGTTGTAAATTACCCTCAGGTTAAACGAAGCAGAGTTTAGCATACCTCTAGAAGGGGTGATTGTACCTCATAATTTTGATTATTTGTAGGATAAACATCAGGCCACACTGGCCGCCATAGTGCCATGTTTATTACTCACTAAACTTATCCTGAGCTAAGTGATTGAAGTCGAACGTTACCACCACAAAGCGAATATGGGCACATACCAGAACTGAGGTAGCTTGTGGAAAAAATTGAGGCACGGTCACTCCCTACTTGCCACGCTGGGCATGCATGAACTTTGAGATTCCTGGCATGCTGGCCAACCATTCACCTTCATATTAACATGGCAAACTGATCGGAGTTGAATCAAGTCCCGACATAGTGAGCGAGCACAAACGGGCAGCACCGTGGCAGCTTCCATATAATGGAACATGCTTCCATAATTGCCTCCACTTGGCACACACAGCAGGCCCAAATTCTTGGCATGCTAGAAAACTGTTTACCCTACTGTTTTTGTTTACCCTTACAAAATCCGCACTAAAATTGATAGTTGCAAAGTCTAAACTGACGGTGCAAAAACTCTGCTAGTAGTAGTATGTAACTCTCTCACCACAGAAACTTGTGAAACACTTTTACCCATGCAAACAACTTCACCGTAACATAAAGTGTTCTCAAGGGCCGAACGACATGTAGAAACTTTAAAAAGTCATTGGTTGGAAATAAATTTTGTTGTCCCAGTGCAAAAAAACCACTGCATACGGAAACAAGACGTAGATGGACATGGCAAGTAAGTTAAATTTTCATAAAACTGGGGAATGAAACTAAGCTTTCAAAACCAGATGGGAAAATTGGAACCTTAACCCCTTCACAGCGGGATTATTNTGGAGCGGTAGTAGCAGTCCTCCGTAGCGAAGGGGTTAATCTTCCTATCATACTAAATTCTTTTGAACAAGTGAGTTTGAAGTTATGACGATAAAATCAAAGAAATGAGCTTTAAATAGCTGAGAAAGTCACAGTCCGTGCTGAGCAGGTTTTGTAAACGTCAAACTTTCATGAAGCTTTCCTCAAGAAATGAGATTACGACATAGAAAATTCAGCAAAATTAACAGGGTTTACTTTTAGTTAAACTTCCATTAGTATTGTTTGCAGGCAATGATCTCATCCAAGAGAATGTGGATTTTGTTATTAGTTATGTCTTTATCCCAAAACTGAAGTGTGATTTTACTGGTGCGACAAGGGTTTTCATGTCACTTCCCATGTAAGCGCTACGCCAAACTGCACATAGACGCTGGATTTTCCCAAAACCTATTTACATGAAATTTCAACAATGCCAACTATAACAGACAGTGCACAAGAAACAGAGCACCAAAGGTAAGCATTGTGAAACTTATTTGAAAACTTAAAACCAAACTTTTTCTCTGAAGGAAATAGTCAAGCAGATTTTCAGTCATCATCGTTATCTACATAATAATGGGGCCCAGAGAGACAGAGAATACAATGGCTGCAAGGCACACCATAGACTTTCACTCCTCATTATTGGCCAATTCGTTCACCGAACCAGGTAAAGGGGGTCTAATTATGACAGATGTTTGACAGAAGAGAAAACGTCCGGCACAGTACTTAGAAACAAGCCTATTTGGATAGAACTACCGCACTGGAACAGGCCGATAAATAAACGGTCAATCCCTTCACTGATACCAATTTAGTTTGCAACTTGAGAGGAATATACCTTGCCAATGAGGAAAGAAAAATATCACACAGGTCTCTGAAAATATTAGGGAACAACTTTGTGAAATATGTGGAATAAGTGAATCAACTGTAAGCTGATCATGATAATGTGTCAAGCACTGCTTGAATACAGCCAAATTACAACATGTAATGGGCATTCGAAACCACAACCAGCCGGTGTACTTGTAAGCATTTAATTTTAACAACGATTAACACATGTGGTTTGTTGTGGGTGCAATTAAGTAGTGTTGGTACATTTCAATCCACTCTGCATAAGACAATAACATAGTCTGTACTATCCTACAGTTACGAGGAATGCGTCAAATGGCCAAAATGCTGTAGTGAATGTTCTTAACATGCTGAGAACAGGGATAGGTATAGGTCTACATGTAAGGAGGTTGCTTGCAGTGACACCTACCTTTTCATTGTTTAACCCCTTCGCGCCGGGACGTGGCTAGACACACCATAAAAATTCAGATTCTCGGCCCGCTTTCCAGCTATTATTCTCGGCCCACGCTTCAGCGAACATGGTGAAAGAAGGCAGACCCTCGCTCTTGTATATATGATAATTGGCCTTTGTGTGAAACCCAGAAATGAAAAGACCGAATTTGCATCATAATCACCAGCTTCACAATAGTCCCCACTTTGAAAAGAGGCAACGGGAATGTGGAAGCGTGAGTAGAGCCGCATGCCACCGAACAATCAGCCTTTTCACCGAGTAATTCAAAGTGTGCAGAGCACGTAGGACCACAAACCGAGAATTTGCGGTTTGGCAGGTGGCCTTCATGGCCAAGCGAGGCTGGAATTCTTGGAGTCGGCTTTCGGGAAAAAAATTCCCGGTGCAAAAGGTTAATGTCTGGTGCGG